CGGGATGGGCGAGGGTGGCCTTCCGGAGCGTGCCCGCCCGCACGTGGCCCGGGAGTTGTGGCGCAGCTCTCCGCGGGAGAGCGGCCGCGGGTGGTTCCGGTGCGCTCTCAGGCGGTCTTCGAGGGCGAGGGAAGGCCGGGGGGAGGGGGGGTCGCGTCAACGGGAGGGTCTTCCGCGCTTCCGCGGCAGGGTGAAGAAGGACTTCAGTCTTGCCATGCAAACGCTGCCGGCCTTTTTGCCCAGTGGCCGTAGGGGGAACCATGGAGGCGCTGAGTGGATCAGGGAGTTATTTTTGCAATCTCTTCTCCGCTCGATGATCAGAAGATAAGCAGCTCGTGCTGTTAGAAAGTGCCATGAATTGGAACCCCCTTCCCACAACTTAAGTCCGTTATTCTGCGTCTTGTACCCTGGACCACGTCTTTGACCCTTTTCACGCGCAAACCCTTCATATGTTTGAAGAGGGCTGCCGTCTCAGTGGGCTTTTCCTAATGTTACTTCGGCCGTTCTCCACAGGACTTGGGTTCTAGTCCCCTGATCATCCTCACTGCCCTTCCCTGAGCAGGTTCCGCTTTCTCCAAATCCTTCTGAGGTGTGGGGTCCAGAACTGGATTCAGGACTCAAAGTTGGGCCTGTCCAAAGCAGAATAAAGTGGAGCTGTGATTTCCTGTGATTTCTGTTAAGGCAGCCTCAAATTGCATTTACCTTGTTTGGGGTTTGCAATCAACAATTCACCAAGACCTTTTTCACAAGTACTAATACCTGGCCAGATAGCCACAAATTAATCTGTGTTTTTTAAATTTTTGTTTCTTAGTTTTGCATTTGTGTGTGCTAAATTTCACTCTGTTACTTCCCACTTGGTTTTTGTGTTATTTGCAGATTTGGTAAGCGTTTCCTTGACCTATTCTTCCAAAACATTGATAAAAGTACTGAAGCCAATAATACTGGGGTACCTAATTTGATACTGCAGCCAGATGAGAAACCATTGAGGAACATCCTTGGAGTGTAATTTTTGTGTTAACTTTTTTTGTCATGCCATTCAACCCACACTTGATCGCCTGTTGATCAGCACCTAATGGATTGCTGTGTCAGTTGCTTTGCCGAGGGATATATTATATCTACAGCATTGCCACACTCTAGAGTCCAGTTGCATTGAGGCAGTGTATAAAGCTCATAAGTAGATAAATTTGTTTATTTGAGGGAATTTATTCAATCAAAAAATGAACAGAATGGGGCTTCCAGGGGAG